CCCCCCCCCCCGGCCTCCTTCTCTCCCTCCCCCGGTGTTGGGGGCGGGGCAGGGGAGTCGTTACTTGCTTGGCACTGGACAGGACATCTATGTGGCTGGAGCAACGATTTTAAGCTTTTGTGGGTTCTGATGAAAGTCTGAAGACCACCTAGGACCTTCTCCCCAGAAGGCTTCTAGCGATCCACCCGCCCACGCACGATTTTCCCGCCAAGGAGCCGGGAGAGGTCCACACACCCGTGTCGAGCCACTGGCAGGTCCGGCTTCTGCGAGCGCGGCTCCTCACCTTCCCGGGACGGACCGCTGGGCCGGAGCTGGGCGGGGACCAGGGGGCGGTGCCAGTCCCGCCCCGGCCGCCCGCTGCGGGTCCAGACTCGCCCTTGCCGCTGCAGACCTGCAGCCCTCTGCTCCCCGGAGCCCGGACTCGCCGCCGCGGCTCGGCTTGCCGACGGCCCTTCCCCACCCCCGCCAGAGCCATGAAGATGCACTTCTGCATCCCGGTGTCCCAGCAGCGGCCGGACGCGCTGGGGGGCCGCTACGTGGTGCGCTGGGGACCAGGGGTTGATCGGGCGGGGAGACGGTCGGCGACGTGACGGGGCGAGGGCTCACCTGCTCGCTCAGCTAATCCGAGCCGCTCTGTCTCCGTGTTGCAGCTGTACTCCGTGTACCTGGACGGGTACCTCTTCTGCAGGGTGCGCTACAGCCAGCTGCACCGTTGGAACGAACAGGTGAGCAGGCTCGAGGCAGGTGAGGAAAAGCGCGCCCCAAGACTCCGGACCTTTTGAGCGCTGCAAGCCCCTAATCTGGGAAGCGGGGTTGGAGTAAGGATCGATTTGGTAACGCTCGGCCTACAGCTCCGTTTATATAGGTTACCGCTCCTAACCCTCTGCAGCTGGGAGGTGAGGGAATTGGCTCAGGTGATTCTCCCAACCGCTTTCCAGCCCAGTGATTGACCCCCAGCAGCCCCCGCTGGCAGGGTGCATTTCAGCTCTTCCCCAGCATTATGTCCCCGTTCAGAATGAGCACACTAAATCTAGACGGAGCTATAGTTTTAGGAATCTTGTACATAGATCGGTATTTAATTTTCTCTCTCCCAGAGTGTCTTAGGCTTCTTTGAAAAGGTGTGTGTATTTTTGTTTTCAAATGAGTGTATTTATAGGCTTCGAGTACCGGCAGGCTGGAAACCCAGGAAGCAAATGACTGATCAAGACCGGAGGCCGTTTCCCACTATAGTTTCTCCCTCTGATGTGGGGCATTTTCTTTGCGAGGCAGCCTGATTTATTAGCATGCTCTAAAGGGTTTTATTGTCCTAATAAGGAAGAGTTCCAAGTCTCCAAAATGGGTTAGAGGAGTAAATGAAAGTTTGGAAATAAAATTCACCCTCCCTCTGCCTCCATGCATGTTTTCTTTTTCTTTTTCTTTTTTTTTAATCTTTATTTATTTTGAGAGAGAGACAGAGTGTGAGCAGGGGAGGAGCAGAGAGAGAGGGAGACACAGAATCTGAAGAAGCCTCCAGGCTCTGAGCACAGAGCCTGATGCAGGGCTCAGACTCACCCACCGACAGTGAGATGGTGAACTGAGCCAAAGTCGGACGCCCAGCCGACTGAGCCACCCAGGTGCCCCGTGCATGTTTTCTTTTTAATTAAAAACATTTGGGGGCGGGGTTGTATCCTGATTTTAAAGAGCATATATAGGAAGGAAGGAAGGAAGGAAGGAAGGAAGGAAGGAAGGAAGGAAGGAAGGAAGGAAGGAAGGAAGGAAGGAAGGAAGGAAGGAAGGAAGGAAGGAAGGAAGGAAGCAAAAGAGGCCCCTGGCTGGCTCAGTCAGAAGAGTATGTGACTCTTGATCTCAGGGTCATGAGTTTGAGCCCCAGGTTCATTGTAGAGATTACTTAAACAAAACTTACAACAACAACAGCCAAGAAACAAACTTGCCCAAGCAACAGCTATTTGGGGGAGAATCCTTCCAGGCAATCTGGGTTTCTAGCGAGCATAGAACACATTTCCTTTAACTGCCTTCTGTTGAAGGACAGGTCTCAACTCCATGTTTTACTGTTGCAAACAGTGCAGGGATGCTTCTTGGCTCCCATCAGCGGGCGCTGGAAGAAAGTCCATTTTCCAAGGTAGGATGAAGTTTCTTTGGACTCCACATAAAAGAGCTTTAATGTGCTCGTTACCTAATTCGTGTGGTCATCTCTGAGTTGCTACCGCCTGCTGAGGTGCCTGTGCCCCCGCAGGTGCTCAGGAATGACGGTTGGCTGACTCCATGAGGAAGGGCATGGATTCAGACTTCTGCAAGATGAGCGGCTACTTGTGACCAAAATGTGTCTGGGGACTTGGGAGGACTGCTGAGGTAGGCAGATGGAGATCTGAAGGGAAGAGAAAGTACAGGTGTGTTTGGCACTTGGCGGAGGAAGTTGATGTGTGAGCCCGATAATCCGCCTTCTGTAACGAGGGGTGGCCTTGGGCAGGCTGCCGTCACAGTGTGAAAAGCAGGAGACGGCCGTGAGGAGCAGGAGGGTGTGGAATTGACTGACTGCTTCCTGACTGGTCACCTCACCTCTTCTCTGACCTTCCATTTTTTTCATCAAATAATAAGCAAATAGGTGGTTACGGGTGTCAACTTCCCAGAGTACTTGTGAAGAGTAGGGGCCATTTTCTCCCGGAGCCTGGCACATAGCATGTGTTCAGTTAAACACTTACTGATGGAGAGGCTTGAGGAATTCCTGAACCTGGCCCTCCTTAACCAACAGACTCGGGAAAATGCTCGTTTTCAGAAAAACTAAGACCTGTCAAGTCTTCGTAGGTTCATAAGCGGAGCCATAAAGTGAGTAGACTTTTATTCTGTTTCGGAAGCCAGGGAAAACAAACTGTTAGTACAGTGGACTCTTAAATATTGAAGAGCCACAGCCTGGTGCCCAATTTGGGGTACAGGGTAGATATTAATTAATACTTCATATTTGTCCCAGATTTTTCAAAATCTGAAAGTGGAGATTTCTTTATCCAGTTTCCAACTATCTTATACCTTGCAACTTATCCTTTTCCTTGTTTCTACAGGAACGACTTCATTAAAAAGAAAACTACTTAGAACTTAGGTGAATATTGGTATTATTAATTTAAAACAGCAAGCAGTTACTGTGTGTTAAGGTTGGCACCAAGAACTTTGTATGTAAAAGCACGTTTCATTTTAATAGCGCTATGAGCCAGGATTATAATTAGCCCCATTTAAACAGATGAGAAAACTGAGGCACAGCTTGCCCAAAGCCAAACTGCTAGTAAGTATCAGAGCCAAGATCTGATCTCCAGTACCTGCTCCGACCCATTAAATTTTGTGGTTTTCTTACTACAGTTAACAAAATAAATTGTATCAGTAAAACAATGGAGTCTTAAAGTAACAAGCTTTTACTCTATTTGGGGATAACATAATAAAATCTCCCAATTTTCGGTGTTCAGTGTGGTGAATTTTGGTAAATGTATATGTTACTACCACCACAATCAAGACAAAGAACAGTTTTTGCACTCTGCATGTAAGTTCCCTTGCCCCTTTGCCCTTGGTAACCTCTCCCTCCACCCCTGGCCCCAGGCAACCAAGATCTGCTTTCCGCCAGAGTTCCAGGCACGGGATTTTATTCAGGCTGCCTAGCAAGCCTCTGTGGGGTCAGCAGGGCACTCGTCATCATTAATCAATCCTGTTGTGTAGATCGTCTGAGTAAGGTTGCCAGATTTAGCAAATAAAAACACAGGCTCCCCAGCTAAATGTGAATTTCAGGTAAGCAACAAAGAAGTTTTGGGTCGAAGTAGTTCCGTGCAGTATTTGGGACATACTTACGTGGGCGTCCTGTGTTTTGTCTGGCAACCCGAAGTCGGAGACAGAACGTTTGGGGGACGTCTCTCAGGCACCACTCAGCTAGATTTTGTTCTTCTTATTCCACTGAAGATGTGAAATGGCTCGGAATTCTTAATCTGATTTAATACAAAAATACTATAAGTAGGAAACAAAACAAGGCCCCATCTGTGTGTGGGTTTGGTATTTTTCCCAGGAAGTTCTGCATCCTGGTAGAACAGAAATTTCACCTTATAGAATTAACTGATTCATTCGTTCATTTATTCTAAGTTCCCATTAGATGCCATGCACTCACTGTGGTACATTCAGGGCAGACGGCGCTTCAGCACGTGGGATTTTTGGCTTTAGGTATTGGATTTCTGTTTTGTATATTGGATAACTTTGGGATTGAGGAGAGGCACCCGCCCAGGTGAGGTGGCCCCTGCTCTTTCTCCGCCAAGTTGCGTGCAGGCTAACGCATAGAAGACTGAACTTGGCTGTGCTTTCGAGATGTCGGTTGTGAATGGTGCCCTCTGAAGTCATCGCCTGCAGGCTCGTCCCTCGGTGAGCTTCCTTCAAGGTCTGGCAGCTCGCCCCTCCGCTGTTGAGTGCTCCTCATCTCTCTGCCATGTGAACTGCTTGACTGACTTCTTTCTGTGCCTTTGAATACATAAAACCGGTTGGATTTATGCCCCGCTCTTGCCTACACCCCCTTCCTTAAAGGGATTTAAAGAGACCTGTGAAGGAAACGTTCAACTGGCTCATTTTGACCTACTGTTAAGGATGAGGCCATCCTGTGTAAGTGACACTGGACTCTACGAAAAGGATGCTTGCCTCTTTGCAAATGTTCTGTTAGTATCAGATACGGCAATAGGCACGAGCCACAGAATCTTGCAAAGGATCCTTCAGTGGAAGGCTTGGTGAGCCCGTATCTGCTGATTTAGTTTTCCTCCCTGCCAGCTGCTGACCCAGCCCAGCTCCTTTCTTCTCTCCCTACTCACATTCTCTGTCTCAGGTTGGCCCACTCATAACCTCTATCTACCTCACTTCCCCCTCCTGGGCAGACCCCCTGCTTTCTGGCCCACTGGTTAGCGACCAGCCCTTTCTCAAGACCCATCTCAAGCCTCACCTCCTCTGGAAAGTCCTCCTCGATTTCACAAGATGTCTTTCTCTGATTCCTGTTTTACTTCGTGTTCAGATCTTGTCATATTCCTCTTTTCGTGCAGATATTTTGTTTCCCCTGATTAGTTACAAAACCCAAATATTTAAATGAAGGAATGAATGAGGACCGTTGGCATAGTATACCCAGCACAGAATCCTTCTTTAGTAGGTGCTCAAAAGAGATCTGGTGGAGGAGAAGGCAGGGGAGAAAGGAGGGAGAAGGGAGAAAAATGAGGGGGAGAAGGAAAAAGTAACGAAAATCCACCACTCAGTAGCTCGTAGGACTTTGGTTAAAGTCACTTCGTCTCCCTGAGCTTCAGGTTACTGTGATTGTCACATAACCTTGATATAAAGGTGGCAGGATGACAATGTTAATGGTGACGATGATCATCTACCTCACAGGGCTATTTTGATGAACAAATGAGATAATATACAAGCTCCAGGCTCATGGTCTTTGGTACCAGATGCCGCTGACCAGATTGCTTTGAACTGTGGCCCTAGATCCGGTAAATCTGGGGTTTTGTTTCCAAGGGGCCTTGGAGAGGCAGGATGGATGAGTCAACATTAGAAACTGACAGTAGAAAGGATGTCATTTGTACCTGTAATTCCGATTGTCCCGGGTGACCACTTCGGAATAAGTATGGGGGGGAGGGGACTGGAAGTGCATAAGTGGGGAAAGGGGTGATATTTTCCACTGACCGGTAAAGTCCTGTTCATGTTGAAAGACAGAGCTGTGTGATGGAGAAATGGTGCCGGAGTTTGTGCTGGGATTGAAAATGTATATTATCTGAAACATGGTCTTTCGAAAACAAACAAACACCCCAAGCAAACAAACACATCTCATGATAAAAGAATAAAAGAGGTGTGTTTTCCTTTCAGTATCTGAACAGGTTTTGGAAAGAGTGTTTGGGCTAAACTCTGATGCCAGGTAATCCTTAATATGCTACTGGTTTTAATAGCTAAACTGTGTGCTCTCTGAGACCAATAGAAAAGGTTATATTTTGACGGAGTTGAACTTGGGGAGTCAATGATTGACTTTTGGCAGACTTTACTCAGTCTGTTATATGTTTATCTTCCCTCTTAGACCAGTATCAGAAAGGGGAGGGGAAAGATTCCTTGAGAAGTCAGCTCAGGTTGTGAAACCTGCTGGGAGAGTTTTTGTGCTGTGATGGGTACTAGAACCTTAAGTCTCGGTGGCTTTTCCCCCAGTTCTTGACCTTGGCATAGGGGCTTCCCCAAGATGCTCTGCTGCTGGTGGAAAACCCAGGCGGCTCTGGTGGCTCAAGGCTGCTGTGATTCAAACCAATTTGGGAGCATCTTCGACATTTATGAACACATGCCTAGGGAGAAAATTGCCTTTTAAAGATCGCTTAATCTGTTAGCTAGGAAATAATTGCATGCAAAGAAGACGATTTTCTGCTCTTATTTAATGGAATTAGCAGAGATAGGGTACATAAATCCCAGGTTGTTTGAACAGCCTTGCTTGGGATGATGCTCCAACCAGGGTGTCTTTGGACAGTGTTTGGCATAACAGGAAAATGCCTTGAATTAAAAAAAAAAAAGAATTGTTGCTATGATATTTTATGCTAACAGATTTAAAGGAGGAATGGTTGCAAAAGTCGATGGCTACAGGGGTCAGGCAGGTAGTTTAAATGGGAGGTGTGAGTCAGGTGAGAGGCAATGGGAAATGGTGGGAACTGCTTAGGCTTCCTCGGCAGATGATTACCTGAGGAATGTGAACCCAGTGGTTCCAGAACCTCTGGTTTTTCAGGAAGCCAGAATATCAGGTGTTTTTCTTTTCTTAATTTTTTTAACGTTTTATTTATTTTTTTTTCGAGAGAGAGAGAGCGAAAGAGAGCATGCGTGCGAGCAAGCAGGAGCGGGGCAGAGAGAGAGGAAGACACAGAATCCGAAGCAGGCTCCAGGCTCTGAGCTGTCAGCACAGGGTCCAACGAGGTGCTTGAACACACAAATGTGAGATCATGACCTGAGCCAAAATC